CTGTAGGCTGTGTCAATACACGATTGTGGCACCAGTAGACAATTGCCATAGAGAACCCCCTCCCACAACTTGGCTGCTATTTTCAACATATGATCCTGACAGTGCCGCTTCATAAAATTGGGCATTTATGGTAGTGATTGTGCAGTGAATCTCAAGCTGAAACAGGAAGGAAAAGCAGGATTGGCTTGTGGCAAGTATCCTTGCTACACGTTATACCACCTTGCAAGATGCAGTGCATTGGTTCCAAACATTTGGGGTTCAGGCCATGAGTGTATTGTCAATGTTCACAAGTTAGCTTCCCTGAGGAGTGAAGCACTCAGGATATTTCGTTCCATGTCTACAAATTGGAAGCCTTGTTGTAGTGGATTTGCTGGGTGGGCCTCAAGCGACCCATTTGCCTTTGAGATTGAGCAATTTGGGTAGTGAACTGATGGCTGTGTGCAGATTCGATTGGATTTGGCAGCTATCCAATCGCGGTTGGGCTTGGGACTGCGCATCATCAGTGCGCTGGTGGATGGCAACCGGCAGGTTGTCAGTGAGAGGCTGGAGGAGCTGGTGTTGCTTGTGATGCCTCTGATCACATCACCTCTTGTAGGTACGAGTCTGTTGTTGGAACACGGTCAGAGCACCTGTATCTGCGAATTGATGCTAATGTGACCATCCATTTTATGCTGCATGTCCCAGTCGTTTCCCTCTGTTGCCATGAAAGAAATTCAGCGTCGCCTTTTGCCAGTGCTCGTGGTGCATTGCCATGCTTTCCTTGTGTTTGTTTCAGAGGCTAATGCTGTCACTTGTGGAAAAGTGTCCATGTTCGGTATTGAATTTGTGTTTGCTTTCCAGCATGCCAATGTTGTCCTGTGCATTGTTTGGCAGTTGCCGGCCAAACTTGCCATTGGAACCTTATGAACTGACCCAAGTATTGCTTGCCGATCCAGTAGCGAATGTGGCGCTCTTTGCCAATTCCATTAATGCAAATGCGAATGGGAATGAACAGCATTGGCACATAGCATTGGTACTGTATCTGAACTGCCCCTTTCTCCAACTATCTGCAATATCTGCCTGCCTGTTGTACAGGAGAGGGGCCAGCCTTCAGCACCACAGTGTCACTTGCTCGATGTCTCCCTGGGCCCTTGGTGGGCCTTGCCATCCATGTGGCGATCTGCCTGAGGCTTGCGCATCTGGCAGAGGCCAGAAAGGGACTGGAGGTTGGAGAGGTGCTTGAGCATCCTTCAATGCGGCAAGTTGTTGATGCCCTCCTGGATGTGACATCTGACAAGCTTCCCCTCCCAGGTAACAATGTTCTTGGATCCATCACATCGTTGCTCCTATCCTTCGGGTTCAGCTGCACATTGCAGGCTGGTGTATTGTGGGAGCGCAACACCAAAGTGCCCCTGTGCAACAACCGCATAACCAATTTTTTTTCCCAAATGTTACATCACATTTAAGAGTCCAGATCACATGAATCCCCTGAACGAGTGCATTGCCTGGCGTGCATGTTGAAGTGCAGTCTGCAGCCCCATGCATTGGTGGACCCATCTTATCAAACAATGGCTTAAAACTGGGGAGACCTGGATGTGCATGAAGTCTGCAGCACTACACTCAATGGATGTGGCACCCATGGCAATGCTGGTGCTTGGGGAAACAGAACACCACAGCTAATGAAAGTCAGTTTCAGCATTTTCCTATCCATGCAAAAAAATATGGCAAGCTAGGCTCAACAATGCCAACTCCGATTGCAGTTATGAGGAGACAAAGCACTGCTGGTGTACCACAGTGCGAGAACAGGCACTTCTTCAAGTGGCCAGGTTTTGCTCACAAATTGCATCATATTTACAAAGTGTGCTGACGACTGACATGTCCACAAGAAATGCAAAATGGGCACAATTGTCAACAACACTTGACTGAAGACAGAAGGTTTTACCTGTGAAAACACCTGGGACAATGGTGTGCAACCAGAATTTTCCTGCATCAGCGAAAGCCATTTGTAGAATTGTGTAACCTTCTGGCAAGTTAATGGTATGCCACTGTTGCTGTGTTTGATTCAACTGTGTCCATTGTGCAGGACCATCATATTTCCTTGTTTTCCCTATTTTACGCTTTATACTTGGTGCCCCAAGCTATTCTACCCTGCATGAACCAGCCCTCAAGGTGCTGTCTCTGCATGTCACCCCTGGGGAGAAGCTGCCACGAGAGGGCACCTTTGCCCTGCTGTACCACTTGCTCTCGACTATTCCTGCCTATAGGTGAGCATGGGTTTGGTGAGGGCTGAGTGAAAAGAAAATATTTCATGAAACCTAAGCACAACCCGGACAGTGATGAAGACGCTGGTTCAGGAGTTAGCTCCGCCATCTTTGGTAGCTTGCTGGTGCGATGATGAGGATGAATGTGCCTGACTGATGATTAGAGCAGCACAATCCATTCTCTGATGCACAGCATAACAAACAGTTTGTAATGCCATCTCCTGGGAGGAGTGCAGTTACACTACCAGGCATGCCTTCCTGTCAGACACAAGCTATGCCCAGGGATGGCTGTGTGTGCAGCGGATTAATGCCAAACAACTTCGTGTACTCCAAGCCGCTTCGGCCAGTAGGTGACCTGGTCTGCCATGAGTGTCGTTTATTTCCAAATGGCATGTTCTATGCCCTTGTTCCCCTCTGTTTCCCTTGCTGAATTTTGTTGCCTCCTGTTGTCTCCATCAGCTCATTTTGCACCTTGTTATCCCTTGGGTAAGGATGATTTGATTTGATGGCTTCTGATTTGCCACAGACATTGTCTGTTGCAGACGTCTGCGTAACCTTCCATGTGTGACCATTATTGGAACAATTAGCAGATGTTGTTGAAAGAATCAGTTGGTGCTCAGCTTGAACCAGTTTATTTCTTTGTACCTTGCCACTAACTCTCTGACTTGTGGAAAACCTGGAATCCTGGCAACTAGTACAGAAAATTGCTTACAAAAAAACACTTGGTGTGCTTTCTTTCCTTGGCACCTTCCTTCATGCTGACAATGTGAGAGTCCTTGCATGTTCTCTACAGGGATTCTGTGCAGCCGCTGCTGCTGTCCCTTTGTGCAGGTGTCATTGATACAGAGCTCCTAGCTGCACTTCAGGGCTTGCTTGCGGAGAATTCCCTTGTGAGGAGTGTGGCCCTCACGGCGTTGCCCATGGTGCCGTGCCTGAGTGCAGGCTTATGTCCTGAGGATGAAGAGATGCTGGCAGTACTCATGATTGGCTGCAACGACCCAAATGCAACCAATCAGGAAGCTGCCCAAGATTTGTGGAAAATGGCTGGCTGCACGATCCCGGAGTCCTTTGCCTCTGCACTCATGAAGTACCTTGGCCATCCCCACAGTGATATCAGGAAGGCAACAACGCAGGCACTTGTGTGTGGGCTGGAACAGTTTAGGGAGAAATCTGTAGAAGTGCTGAACCTTGTGTTGGACATCTACGAAGGTGTGTACATTTGCTTGCAAACTGTGTGCTCAGCTGGGTGATACAGAAATAACAATCAAAAATACAACTTTGGTGGTGGCACGAATCGAATCTCACATTTCCTAAAGCTTAAGCTGTTTGCATAGGATTTGCTGAACTGTTGAATGCACAGATATCCCATTGGGAGTATTCAGCATTCCAATAATTACCATTTCCTGTTTGGACTTGGACGTTTTGCAAAACGGATTGATGCTCCAAAACGATGTGCAGGAACAGGTGTTGCTTTTGTGGGGTGGTTGCACTGACTAGAAAGTTTTGTATTGCAGCTGACAGCCCGACAGAGCTACGTGAGGGGTGTGCGATGGCTTTGGAGGCGTGTGCCAAGTATTTTGATGCTGCTCAGGTTCAGCAGTGTCTTGATTTCCTACTCACACATGGGCTGCCTGATGACAATGCTTCTGTCCGGGATCGGATGGTTGCAGCAGGTGCAGAGAGAGAATCTTGAACAATATGCAGTGGGCAGGGTAATGTGCAGTATGTATCACTGTGTGGGGAGAGGTTTGTTTGAGCAAATGGCCATGTATTGTCAGCAATGGCGCGCCACTGATAATTTGACAGCAAGTGCTATGGCAAGGTCGTACAGCCCACACGCACAACATTCTGCACTTTTAAAAGTGAATTGTGGTGTGAAACTTTGGAATGAGTGGTTGTTGTGCCTAAGCAAATTTGTGGAGAGATGTCCCATAATTTGGCTAGCTGTCCCATAATTTGGATAGCTGTCTGCAGTTCTCCTGCAGGAAATGGTTCTGTTGTTGTTTGCAGACTTCCCACCCCTGCTCGTAAAACTGTGTATCTGTACGATCCTCCCACATATGGTCTCTCCTTTTGAAACCTCCTGCGAGTCCGCACTGATTTCATTTTCTTAGTGTGATGAAACTACGCATGAAGTTGTGAAACTGTATTTGAAAAATTGCTGGAATTATTATGTTAAAATGCTGGAATGTGACAAAGCACTGTCCTGTCACCTGCCCCAATGCACAATTGCAATTTCACGCTTGTTCTGCTGTCTCTTGGGAAAACTAGGTTTGGTTGACAATTGTCACTTGGGGGGTATGTATGTCCGGCAGAGAAGAGAATGCAGATCCCCAACAAATTCCTTGGCAAGTGCTGTTGGCTGAACATGGCAAGTGACATACAGCACAGCCCTATTGACAAGAGGTTATTGAGCCAGCCTGTCATGCTCCAAATGATGCTCAACTGTGGCAGCTTCCTGCCTGTTCAGGTGTGGAGCTGGTGGATGTGCATGGCACATCCCAAGTGCAGGTCCTTTACCCACTGCTGCAGTCCCACCTTGAGGGAACCCAGCGTGCAAGCCCAGAGGAGGCAATCAGGAGTGACAGGGTTCGTGAAGGGGTTGTACTGCTGCTGGGAACGATGGCGCGACACCTCATGCCAGAAGACCCCAAGGTTCGGGGTATTGTTGGAAAGCTCATGGATGTTCTTGTGACACCCTCTGAGTCAGTGCAGCGAGCGGCCTCAGGTTGCCTGTCCCCACTGTTGGCCATGTTTCAGTCAGACAGAGCCTATGTGGAGGGCATTGTGAAGAAGCTGAAGGAGCAGCTTGCACACGGCACAACTTATGGGGACAGGCGTGGAGCAGCATACGGACTTGCAGGAGTTGTGAAGGGCCTTGGCATTACAACCTTGAAAAACTTCGCGATCATGGACTCCCTCAAGGTTGGTTGCCAGTCTTTGATCCAAATGGCAATGTGGGAACATGGATTGTGGTGCCTTGTGGGTGTTGTGTGTTATCCTGAAGTACCAACACGCCTAACTGGGAAGATGAATTTGAATTTTCATTTTGTCCTGGACACAAGCCAAGACGTTGCAAACCAGAATCCAGATGGGCCGTGCTTGCAAGATGTTTTTTACCACATCACCATCCTCTTCCAGCTATTATGTCCCCATCTACAGTTTTTGATGGCTCCTTGTCTTTTTCTGTCAACATGGCAGGCGTACGTGGAGGACAAGAGTGATGCAAATGCCCGTGAGGGAGGCATCCTTGCCTTTGAATGCTTCTGTGACAGGCTGGGGAAGCTGTTTGAGCCATACGTGATTCATGTCCTCCCTCTGCTGCTGACGTGCTTTGGAGACTCGGCGCTGCAAGTCAGGCAGGCAACAGTTGATGCTGCTCGAGCAATCATGCGGAACCTGTCTGGTCAAGGTAGACTAAATGGGAACAGGAGCATTACAACAGGAGACTGTACCGTTTTTGATCAGATAGCAGGAATCACAACAATGAAAAGTGTTGTATATCTGCTTTGCGGTTTCTTGATCTGCAAACGAGTCCACAGTCTTGTACCCATACCAAATGTTGGCCAGTGTTACTCACGTGAGCGTGGTGAACCAAATGGAGAAAGAATAGAGACAGCTGCACTTCACTCAGAGGCTCTGTGTATACTCTTTGTGTGGCAGTAAGTTGTGTATCTAGTAAGTTGCCTTGTCCATTAATAGAAATGGATCAGACAGACGTGCTTGACTCAAAACACCCATAAAGTGTGCGGAAAGTTCCTGTCTGGCAGTGCAGGATTTCTTGATATGACGCAGCAATATACTCAAGGTGGCTATAGTGAGAAAAGCCGTTTACTTCGAATGAAGAGGAGATTTCTCTGTTGCCAGCACTTCGACTATGCCGTCCAAGTGGTTTTGGCAGTATGTTGTGTTCTGCTTATTGCAAACAGTGGAATTGGGGTTATTGCCCAAACTGGGCAACCGGGCAAGATTTAGCAAACTTCAACCTGTCAGTGTCCACAGTACAGTCAATTCCCAAAAGAGCGGAGCACCATAAATTCAGAAAGCGCATGATCAGCCACCCAAAAGAATCGATGCTTCGCTGCCATGGAGTGCCAAGTTTGCCTTTTAACAAGTCTGCTCTTTCTGAATCTGGAAGCACTTGCTTCAGCAAGTTGGGAGATGTCATCATTGCTCTGTATTTCAAGTCTGGAGTGCAGTCCCAATGGCTTTGAACTGCGGGTTTGTCAGGTGTCAAGCTGGTGCTTCCATCACTGCTGAAGGGGCTTGAGGACAAGCAATGGCGAACCAAGCAGGGTAGCATCCAGCTGCTCGGTGCCATGGCCTGGTGCGCGCCAAAGCAGTTGTCAACAGCCTTGCCTACCATTGTGCCAAGGCTGAGCGATGTGCTGGCGGACCCCCATGCCAAAGTGCAGGCTGCTGCACAGCAGGCATTGAATGAGGTAGCCCGAAAGGGGAAAGTGTGTAGCACCCACTGTCCATTGTGACATGATTCTGCCACCTTTATGTGTTCTGCCCTTTCCCCATAAGTGGAAGGTCAGTGGTTGATCATGTATTGTCAAGTGCTGGCAATGCCAGTTCTTCCACAACCCCTCAACTCACTGAATGCCAACTGTCACCTCACAGGACCCTTTGCTTCTACAATCACAGCATTCGTGCTCCATCGGGCTGGCTGTTTTGAATCTGGCACCTCTCCTCTGTGATGTCTCTGCCCAGTGTACTTGAGTATGTCGATTATTGAAACTTCCCGGCATGTGGTTTCCAAAGGTATCTGCATGGCAGTTGACTACAACACAAATTCTGCTTTGGCAAATTGGAATTGCAAATGAAACATCCTACTCTTTTCGTGCCAACCTTAGCAATGTCTTTTTCTGTGCTGAGACGTGCATGCAAACAGGCGGTTGCCCTAGTTGCCACACAGATGTTGCTTCCATTGCAGCAATTTTCATGCCGGCATTGAATTGTGCCTTGTGCACACCAAGAAAGCAAACATGTGCTGCAATATTGCCTTGGACATGTGCATGATACAGCCAGTGCCATGTGTACCAGCTGCAAGATTCAATTTGCTGGATAAGTTTCAACTTGCCTTGTTTATGCAGAGAAAAACATAATTTGGCCTGTCCAGGTCCTGACACCATGGTGCTCCTGACCACTATGCCTTCGATCTAAGCTTGCTGCTTTGTGCAGGTGGGCTCGGTGATCCGAAACCCAGAGATTCTGGTTTTGGTGCCTGCTTTGCTCAAAGCGATTGGTCAACCCAATCAGCACACCAAGGACTGCCTTGATGTGCTGCTTGGAACCATGTTTGTCAACACCATTGATGCTGCTAGTCTCGCCCTAATTGTGCCTGTGGTGCACCGTGGCCTGCGAGACCGGAGTGGAGAGACAAAGAAGAAGGCTGCAAGGATTCTGCAGAATTTGTGCCGCTTGATTAATGACCCAAAGGTGTGCCGTGCACCAGAGCTTGCCCTTGTGCCCACTGATCTGTTCAGTTGTGCAAGGTTGTACTGCAGGCATCGCTTGGGTGGCTACGATTGACTGAATGAATGTATCCTTGAAGACAATGCGAAAATACGACACAATGGTCCTGTCACATGTCTCTACTCAACTCCAATCGTGAGACAGTGCCAATTTTCTGACGGCTTACACATGGCCTCACGATGCTCGGCAGAAATTCTCTAAGCCCCATATCATTCAGGCGGGTATAAGTTGACATCCATGGGAGCCTTTGTATCTTGTTGCCAGAAGAGACTTAATGTGGGTATTAGTGGGGCAGTTATGTAATGAGTGTGCAGCAGTGAGGCATGAGCAGGCAAGCAATGCCAATTGGTTTGGCTCATTTCATCTTGAAGGAACAAGGGTTCATGGTTGTGTTGGGCATGGCTGCAGTGGGCCACTTTGGCATCATGTTGCCGGCCTGCTGAACATGTTGTCAAGTTATTCTGCATTGCAGAAGAACTTGTTGCTTTGCTGGAGTCGTCAATTTTCTCAGGCCATTGGCTTTGCTTCAGGACATGACTCCATATGTGCAGCTGATGATTCCGGAGATACAGAAGGCCATTCTTGACCCATTGCCTGACGTGCGAGGCCAGGCATCCAAAGCTCTTGGGGCCTTGTTCCAGGACTTGGGTGCTCAGGCACCTGCTGATGTCATGCCTTGGCTGATGGAGACTCTGCGGTCCAAAGGTTCAAGCGTGGAAAGGAGCGGCGCAGCCCAGGTGGACAGCACAGACACTTCTTGTTTGTCCTTATTGTTCGCATGCATGACATTATTAGAGCTGTATTGATTATGAGCTGCAAGGAAACTCGTGCAGATTCCTCATGAAGATCACAGAGTCAACATTATCTCACATGACAGTTGATGTGCTGGTTCAGTTTTGTCCGATTACCACAAGAAACGCACATGTTGTTTCTGGCACTGTTGCCTATGTCCCTCGTGGCGTACCGCTGATGGCACATGCACACAGAATAAGGCAGCTCAAGGCACCTGCAACTCAAGGATTGGTACAGGTGCCTCCAACGCACATGCACGTTTTGGGCTATTCTGGCCGCAGCTTTGCACGTGATTGTTTGGATTCTGTTGATACTGTTTAGATGATCATGTGTGTGATATCACAACTTCCTCTAAAGCCAAGTCTCGTGCCTGCGCCCTTCCAGGCACTGTCAGAAGTGCTTGCCATCCATGGCAAGGAGCATCTTGAGGGCCTGATGCCAGAGATTCTTTCAGACTGCTCGGCGTCAAATGCCACCAACAGGGAGGGAGGCCTAATGCTCTTCCGATTCCTGCCACAAACCATGCAAGAGGATTTCCAAGCGCACCTAAGCACCGTGCTGCCATTTATCTTGGACGGCTTGGCAGATGAGAATGATGACGTTAGGGAGGCAGCCATGGCGGCTGGACGCATGCTTGTTAATGTGTATGCGGAGTCGGCACTTCCACTTCTGTTGCCGGAAGTTGAGAGGGGACTGTTCAATGAAAACTGGAGGATCAGGCAGAGCTCTGTGGATTTGTTGGGGAGCCTCTTCTACAAGGTGCTTTCAGGAACAATGTTGAATCTGAATGAACTCCAGGCAAAGGTTCAAAGCTCGTCATGGATGCCCACATGCACGATTGCGCAGATTCCAAACACGCCAACCATGGAACAAGACTTAATCTTTCATCTGCTTTCTTTTATTAACTGGACAACCACGCGTGTTTCAAAATGTACCTGCATTACTCTTGAGAAAACACCACAGTGCTTGCAGCCGAACCTGCACTTCATCTTCAATAGAAGCACGAACCGCAATGCAAAATGCGCAATGATAGAATGGTGACTTCCTAATGGAGACATGCTATGACTGAATATCAATGTTGCAATTCTGTGTGGTCTAGGTTGCTGGCACGTCAGGCAAGGTTGTAGTTGATGGTGGCTCTGATGATGAAGGTGTTGCTGTGGAGAGCTATGGGGCAGCCATCATTCGAGCTGTAGGCATGCAGAGGCGAAACGAGGTGCTTGCGAAACTGTATGTATGTCGCTCAGATGTGCAGTACCCTGTGCGCACACAAGCACTGCATGTGTGGAAGACAGTTGTGGTGAACACTCCGAAGACACTGGGTGAAATGTTGCCTGCACTGATGGACCTTTTGATCGACACATTGGCGAATGGAGGTGGGCAAGGGCGAGGGAGAGTGGCTGCACGCTCAGCCGATGGCTATATGTTTTCCTTAGGCTGTGATTTTTAAGCTGTTATCTTTGGATTGAAGGCTGCTGGGTCTGCTCACAGCAACTGATAAACACAGCCACATAATATGGGATTATATGATACGGATTCCAATATCAGAAACGATCCACATGCGTCTTTTCTGATTTTCAAGGAATGGCACGTATGCTGGGAGCGCTGGATTGCATGCGGGCATTCTGCCCTGAGAGCGTTTCCTGACGTTGATTGGTCTCTGGAGAAATGCTTCTCATGGCTGTACACATCAACTGCAGATCTGCACTTCCGCTGAACTGGTCAGGGCAAAGCCAGGGACATGCAGCCTCCTTGTGTCAGCCGGTTGTCAGGACGATGCCATGACGATTTGACTGAACACAGAGCTTCGATCGCCGTTGCTTTCCCTTCTGCTACATTTCCCTTTTTGTGTTTTTGCTGGTGGAAATGATCTGACAATTGTGAGGAGAACCGGCGGTTCTTTGATGTCAAGTCGTTTTCCTCCCCGAGTTGCTTTGATGAAATGGCATCCTGCTAATTGGCAGTCTACTCTTGCAGGTGAAGATGGACGACAGACGTCTGGCCGCTGCCTTGGGGAGCTGGTGCGAAAGATGGGCGAGCGTGTCCTGCCGATAATCGTGCCCATTCTGAAGACTGGCACAGAGTCTTCAGATGTGGCAACACGCCAGGGTGTGTGCTTTGGACTGAAGGAGGTGCTTGATGGCCTCACCAGGCACCAATTGACGGAGCACCTCACAACGCTACTTCCAGCAATCCAAGCAGCACTGTGCGACACCGATGCCACAGTACGTGTGCTGTTCTGCTTTCATTGTTTAGTGCATTTTTTTTCTTCAAACGACATGCAATGTGCAGGTATGCTTGTAAGAGGGTATATTGAAATTCACACAGCAGGGCATCAGCGCATATGCTGTGGCTCATCTCCTCGACAAGAAATATTCTTAGTCTTTTGTTGTGCTCAGCACTGCTGCAAAATGTCAGGTCTAATTGCAGGGACCGTGCCTGAGAGTCTGACACTTGTCAATTCTCCAGAAGTTATGCAGTCGTGGACATGCAGCGCATAAGTAGTGTGGAATGGCTTAAATGCAGACGTGGTCCAGCAGGCAGGGTACTGCCCTGCCCTCCTCGCCACTTGTTCTTTGAGTAAATTGAATTGCCATCCACGCAAAAGCAGTTGTGTCCTCCAGTGTTGTAGGCCCAGTCAATTGTTCTTTGAGTTTCGCTTCTGCAATTACGACGGTTCCTCTGATACTCTGGTCCTTCTGTGCCAAGGAGTTGTCTGCCCTATGAACACAGTCTTCACTTTGCACCCACAGGTTCGCGAAGCTGCAGCCGAGGCCTTCAACGCTCTGTTCAAGGCGGGTGCAGGGCCAGTGGTGGATAGTGTCGTGCCGGCGTTGCTGTCCAAATTGGAAGTCGACAGCCACAACAGCCAGGCGCTGGAGGGCTTGCAGGTCATCTTGAGCGTCCGCCCGCAAATGCTTACCACGATGGTACCTCGCCTGCTGAAGAAGCCATATACTAGTACCAATTTGGGAGCTCTAGGTGCTCTTTCTGAGGCTGCAGGGGCTTCACTGCAGAGCCACATCTCCACGATTATGACGCCAGTGCTCACAGTTGCCAGTCGTCAAGATGAGACACCGGTTGTGGATGCAGCCAGAGAGTGCGCTAGCAGGGTGAGGAATGCTTCTGAATTTGAATCTGGCAACTTCGCAAGGACTTCCACATCATTTGTCCGTGATCTTGAACACTGATAACTGCTCACAGCGATGCCAAAATCAAGTGAATTCCGTGTGAATATATTTGTCTTCCCATTGCGAGAAACTGCCATTGCACCTGTGAGGCACGAGCAGTTCTGTGCAGCTCCACCGGTACTTTCTGCATACCGGTCACAGTGCTTGTGTACAAAGTCTGGGCAGTCTGCATTGTTGATAGTTGCATGTGCGTTCTTGGATAGTTTGTTAGATACTATGTCCTTTTCAGAGACAAAAAATCACTTTCACAGTAGCATGGCCTCCGAGAAACGGTTTCATAAAGAGTGAAGGGTTGTCCCTCCCATCGATTGGTGTTCCTGTTCTTTGCAGTTATTTGCACTAGATTTTGTTTGACATCTTCACCAGGGTAGCACCTCTGGGGAATGGGCCTTTGTTCAAGTTGGGCTCTAAATGTTGCAGTCTTCAGCTTTATCCAGATTGCAGGAGCCCGTTAAATATTATGCTGCCAGTGTTGTACAAGAGGAACTGTTTCGAGAGAATAACAGATTGTGAAACGGCATTGTGCTGGCATTTATCTGGCTGTGCTGTCTGCTATTCCGTACGAGCCCTTGCATATTGCATTGGGTGGAAAGTGTATGTGTGTGTGCAAGGACAAGGAGCAGGCCATTGATGGGCACCATGATTAAATGTGCTTGTGTCCACAGGTGGCACTTTCTGTGCAGGATGAAGCTGCATACAAACTGATGGCAGATATCCAGAAGGGCCTGGAAGACCCCAGCATGCGCCTCTGGTCTGCAAAATTGGTTGAGACGGTGTGCACCAAGAGCAGGCTGGACATTCAAGACTATGTGCCAGATTTGATCCAGAACCTTGTTCCTCTACTTGCCGAAGAGGATCACGAAGTGCTCATGGCATGTTGGACAGCCTTGGGTGCTGTGACAAAGACGATTCCCAAAGAGATGATGCCGTCTTATGTGCGGTCCCTTAAGGACGCAATTGCGACAGCCAAAGAGAAGGAGAGGCGGCGTAGGCGCGGCATGGCAACTGCAGGAGCTGGACCAATTTTGGTGGCGGGCTTCTGTTTGCCCAAGGCGCTCACCCCCGTGCTCCCGATTTACTTGCAGGGAGTACTCCAGGTAGCAACACGCAGGCTGCATGAGATTTCATAGAAGTTGTTCAATGAGCAGAGCACTATGCATTACCTCGGTCTGCATTTGTGCAGTTTTTCGTTTCTACAAGTGTTGGATTTTGTGCCTGAGACTGTACCCTACCATGATTTATGGCGCTGTGTCTCGAGCATATGGGAGACCGAGAAGGGGGAGAGAGAGAGGGGGGAGGGCGTAGTGGAGCTATTTTCCTGGTATTTATGTTATGTGTTTGTGCAGGGTAATTCTGCAGAATTCCGTGAGCTTGCAGCTGAGGGGCTTGGCGAACTCATCGAAGTCACAGACGAGAAAGTCCTCAAAGCGTTCGTTGTGCAGATTACTGGACCACTAATTCGCATTATTAGTGACAGGTGAGGCTGCTCCTGGTATTGTGGTATGTGCTCACCATAACTGTTTTTGGTTGCTGGTGGAACTTAGTTGGGGGCATTGCACACGTTCTCCCAATTGTCCCAGTGTGCTAAGGTATATACATTCTATATTGGCACACCCTCGTGAACTCTAGGATTGCTTTTCGTTGACGGCTGTGCACACCATGCACATCACTTTGAGTAAGGATTGGCTTAATGGTCATCTTTTGTCGGTATGCAGGTTCCCTTGGCAGATAAAATTCGCCATCTTGAGCACAATGGGCCTGCTGATCTCAAAGGGGAG